AGCCACGTGCCAGCCCACGCCCATCCCAAATCCAGTATGTGTGCCCAGCTCCCCTGCCCTCCCCACATACCCCAGAGCTGCAGGGACAGACCCTGGGGGCTCTGACCCCCTGGTAAGGCCCCTAAATCCAGGAGAGGTGATCCCTCCTGACAGCCACAGCTCCCCGTTCCCAAAACACGGGGCAGTGCAGCAGCTCCCACCTCGCGGCCCCTCTGGCGGGAGCGCCTGGGCCAAATCCCACCCATGCCAGCGCAGCGCCCGCCTGACGTAGCAGGCACCGGTCCCACCACGTGCCGCTGACGCCAGTGCCACCAGCACCACGGGGTCCTTACCAGGCTGTGACAGGGGGATGGTGTCCCCCGGGGCCCATGGGGAGGGCAGTGGGGCCGGCACCCTGCCCCGATGCCCCCACTGCTGGCAGAGATGGGCCCCGGCCACCCCCACCCCCAGCCCGCACGGCATTGCTGCTCCCTGTCTCCTTCCCCCAGGAAAGGGAGAGAAGAGTTAATTAGTTTTTAATTGGAAGGGGGGTGACCTAGAAGGGTGACAAGGCAGGCGGTGGCACCCAGCCAGGCTCATAGGCAAGATAAAAGCCACGAGGAGCGAGCGGGCACAGGGTTGCTGGTGGCCCCGAGCTGACAGAGCTGGTCTGACCCCAAATCCAGCCTGCACGGGGCAGGAGGCAGCAGATGGGCTTCGAGGGGACAGCGGGGACCAGCGTGGGACACTGGGGGATGGGACACAGGCGCCGGGGACGTGGAGCAGAGTTGGAGCATCCCCACAGCACCCTGAGCTGTCCCAGCTCGCCCCAAGGCACCATCAGCCACAGTCCCCTCGCCCTGCCTGGCCCCTCACCTGCAGGTACTGGTATGCTCGGTCTTTGGCCTTTGCTTCCTGAAGCATCAAGGTCTTCTCGGTGCCACCAGCACTGGGATAGGCTTCCCGGGCCTGGCTGACGGTCATGGTGTGCCAGGCACTCCTCTTGAGCGTCTGGCCGTCCAGAGACATGGACATGCCGGCACAGGCCAGGCATTTTCCTTCCCCGCCGCCCTTTAGACTCTTCAAGGTCAAGTCTCTGAAGGCACTTTCGGGAGCGTCCACGCAGTACTGGGTGCCCTGGTCGGCGGCGTGCCGGCCCGACACCATGTAGCTGCTGTCGCTGTCCAGGTTGTCGTCGGAGCTCCACCAGCCCAACATCTTGGACCGGTGCCGGGAGTCCACCTTACGGTCCTTGCTCTTGCTGCGCTTGCCGTGGCGGGACTGGTGGTGGTGGTGGTGATGGTGGTGGTGGTGGTGGTGGTGGTAGCCGTCCCCGCGGCCGTCCATCTTGGCGCCGTTGTAGTCCCGCTTGGCCGGCGCCTCCAGGGAGTGGGACTTGGCGAAGAGCTTCTGGACGGAGTGGACGAGGTGGCGGATGCGGCTGGGGCTCTCGCTGCGGGGCTCGGCGCCGCCGGCCCGCGGGTACTGCAGCGTGTGGAAGCCGTCGTGGTGCAGCGGCAGCTGCTTCTCGAACTGGTCCAGCAGCGTGGGGGGCAGGCGGTTGATCTTGCTGGCGGGGTGGGCGGTCGCCATGCATTCGTCGCAGGAGTCGTAGGGCTGCTGCGCGTGGTGCATCCTCGGGAAGGTGCTGCTGGCGCTGGCGGAGGGTGGCTCGCTCAGGGGCCCGCCCGGGCACTCGCTGGCCGCGCCGGGGCTCCGCGCCGGGCAGTGGGGATGCTCCAGGGAACACGGCTCGCTGGGGCTGAGCAGGTAGGGCGGCCGGCCCTCGGGGCCGTGCGGGATGTAGTCGGCGGGATGCTGGCAGTCCTCTGGGATGCAGCGGCAGCGGTGGCCGGAGGAGGGCTGTGTCTGGCTACGCTCCCCATGGTAGCCCTTCATGGTGTCAGCATCCTCCCCGTAGCCTCGGCATCCTGCAGGGATGCCCCTGCGGGCTCACCTGTGGGGACAGGGACGGGCACAGTGTGAAGCTCCCCTCTGCGCCCCACCACAAGCAAAACATTGGGGCTGGCCCAAAGGAACTAACTGAGGTGACTGGGAAGGTCCCAGGGTGGGATTCGGCCCTGGCTGAGCCCCTGTGAAGTGCCAGAATCATGGGGCGAGGCGGGCACGGTGCTGGGGGTCAGCACCCAGGGTTACCCCCAGCTCAGCTGCTCGGAGGGGGCAGAGGGAAGGAGAAGGCACTGCCAGCAGCGATGCAGGCAGCAGGGCCTGCAGACGGTGAGGAAGGACACCCTGCCATCAGCAGATCCTTGTTTTCTTCTCCAACACCAAATATTGTGAAGTGTTTCTCCGTTAGGAAAACGGTTCTGGCTGAGCTTTTCAGCCGCCGCGATTCACAGCCCCGCTAATGAGCTGCCGCGGGGCGCGGGGGGGCCGAGCTCCGGTGGCTCCACCCGGCCCGTCCTCCCCCCATGGAGCACCCAACGGCAGGTGGAGACCCCCAGCCCTSACACCCCTACCTGCCAGTGCCCCCGGACAGGGGCCAGGAGCAGAGGTGGCTGTGCTGTGTGTGGGGCAGCCCCACACTGAGACAGGAGGAGGGGTGGCACCGAGCCAGGCTGAGCCCGTGCCAGCCGCCGGAGCCGCCTGCACCCATGGAGGTTTGTGTTCCTTACGGTCCCTCAGAGGCCCTGCCTTTGGTTTGACTGTAAATGAGGAAATTACTTATTCTCCAGAGCATCTCGGCTAATTAACAGGCATCGTTAGTGCTCTCGTTATCATATTTGGGCAGGGTGCTGTGGGCAGCACGTCTCTGAGACTGGCTGCAGGGCAAGGTGACTGTGGGACATTCCCTGTGGCACGTGGGGTGTGTCGGACCACGGGGACGGCAAACGAGGGACACTGGGAGGGTCAGGGCTGTGAGGGAGGGGGTTGTGTGCCCGGAGGAGCCCCAGAAGACAGAGCAGCTGGGGGTCCCCAGGGAATGTGGGGATGAGCAGTGATGGCACGTTGGCCGTGAGCAGCAGACTAAGCCACTGCCACCACCTTCCTTCCCAGCTTTGGGGCTGGATGGCTCCATCCTGCATGGCTCCCCACCCTCACCACTGTGCTCCTGCTCTAACGAGGCTCCCTAATTGCTGTGTCTGAAGGGAAGGATGTGCAGCTGGTACAGAAGATGCCTCTCCCCTCCCGGGAGAGCTGCTGCGAGGAGCGGGAGCAGCAGGGCGGGATGGAGCTGCCTCCCTGCCTGGGGATGGAGCAGCAGGATGGATGGACGGACGGACAGACAGACAGACAGGCTCCCAGCCCGGCTCTGCCTGCGCGGGCTGAGCTATCATCTCCTGCTCGGGGAGGGAACTCTCAGCTGATCCAAATATTGTTGCTGCAGCGGGAAGAAGGAGTCAAAATAGCTGCGGAGCCCGTCACCACGAGCCTGCCGGGCTTTTGTGCTCGGCAGGTGCAGGAATTCAGCAGCGCCGGAACCCGCCGGCGAGGCAGCGCCGCGGCTCCCCCGCAGCTGCCGAGCCATGGCAGCAGATGGGCCGTGCCATGGCGAGGGATGCACTTCCCAGCTCACCATGGCAGAGCCCTGCCAGCACCTGTGTCCTGCCCAGGGACCAGCCGGTCCCCCCGTGGGCACCCTGGGGGTGGGGAAGGGCTCAGGAGAGATCCTGTGGGGCTCAGCACAGGCAGCACAGCCGGGAATCCCCGTCCCTGTGTCCCAGTGGGGATGGTCACACACAGAGGGTGGGAGAAGCTGCCGAGCCTGCTCCTCTGCTCTGTCCCAGGTGGGCACTGTGGGCAGGAGGCTGGCACATGGAGCTGGGGGAGCTGGACAGAGAGTGGCTCGTGGGCTGGTGGCTGAGAGCTGAGAGCTGGAGCTGTGTCTCACCAAAGGCTGTTCCACTGCTCAGCACTCGGGATGGAAGGATTTGTGCCACCAAACCACAGACTCAAATCAGGGGGGAAAAACCCAGCCCGGATGAATTTTGTGCCATTTAACACCAGGGTAATTACCACCAGTGGGAACCTACCGCCCACACGATTATGTGCTAGGATAAACTGGAAGAGCATAATTACCATTACAAATAACTCACTCCTTGCCTTTATTGCTTCCAGAGCCTCGAGGAACTCCCACCGGCCACTCCTCATTGCCACCCTCCCTCTGAAATCTCTCCCTACCCGAGGGTCAGCACAGGGAGAACAGGGGCTTGTAGTCCCCTGTGTTCTGAGCCACCCCAAAATTCAGACTCCTGCTTAATTTCCCATAGGAGCACTTGGCAGAGGTGGTTCCACTTCCCAGCATCCGCCCCATGAGATCCCTGCCTTGGAGGCAGCTCTGTACCAAGGCCCAGGGCTTGTGGGGATTCAGGGCAGCCCCAGCAGGAGCTGGAGCTTCCCTTGGACCCTGTGGCACCCAGGCTCCCTCCAGCTCTGGGACCACCAGTGGGGAGGTGACGGGACAGCAAATCCCCACCGTGGTGTCTGGGCCTGGGGAACTGCCCTGGCGCAGGGTAAGACTGGGTTTTCCAAGATCTCCGGGTCCAACCCCGAGAGCTGGGGTTGATGGCCCCGCACTTGGGGGGTCCTGGCCCCCCGCCCTTCCCAAGCAGCCCCTGGCAGGGGCAGCAGGTGCGGGGTCCTGGCACGGCACTCACCGCCCGGCGCTCAGGGGGATGCTGTCCTCATGGCCCGGCCGGCAGCGG